GAGCCAAGGGGCAGCTGGCTGGGACTCCTGCCTCTCCGCCAGCCGGGTACCGATGGGCTCTTGCTTTCCCGCAGGACTGGCTGCAACACCTTCACTCTGATGGGCTGAAAGGAGGAGGGTTTGGAAGATCAGGAGATCCCTCAGTAACATCAGTGTGTCCCAGCATTGGGGTTGTATCAGCTCTGGGGGAAAATGTCCCCAAAACCCAAATAAAATTAATTTTTTTCCTTTAAACGCAATCTCATGGAGTCTGTGGATATGTCCTGGGGGAAGCTGGCCTAAAGCACTGCAGTGGGTGCAGAGTGAAGCTCTCACCCTGTTACTCCGGGAAGAGACTGGCTGCAAGAAAGCCCCATTTCCAGACCAAATGGGATGGTGCATGCCCAAAGTGACCCTCTGACACCAAGCACAGGCCAGCACTGGCTCTTCCCTGCTCAATGCCAGGTAACCGTGATGGGAGAGTAAGCTGGGGGGCCCTTTTACTCCTCAAAAAGCTGGCTAGGAGCACCCCCAGCTCCAAGGCAGCCTTCAGGCAGGCAGGTGTGGGGTCTTGGCTGTGTCCATAATCCTGGTGAGCTGCAAGGGCTGCTCCGTACCGGCAGCACAGCACCAGTAGCTACAGCACATCCAGCCCCAAAACTCTTCCTAGGGAAACGTGTGTGATTTACTGGAAAGCGGACAACCAGCAAATCCAGCCCCAAACCCCTGCCTGCCAGACTTTGTGACTTACTTGTAATGGGCTGTGTTGCTGCTGCTGCCTCAGTCACCCTTCCCAGCTGAAACGAATGATTTCCAGGAAGCTCAGCTCCAGGTTTGAATCTGAAACTTGGTCCTTGAGCTGTCTGGTATGAAAATAACCCCAGACGGTGCTGCACTCCCCACGCTGGCACCCTGCCTGGGATTTGAGCAGCTTAAAGGCAGGCATGGGCTGGCAGGGCTTAAAGGCAGGCATGGGCTCTGGCTGCTCCCCTCGTTTTCCTGCCACGAATGCCATGGGAGAGCTTTGCTAACAGCATCCGTGGCTTTAGCAAGTTTTCCACCTGCTCTGTGTTTTAGCCTACTTTGTTGCAGACTTGCACGTGGTTTGCTTTTCACTTTTTTCTCCCTTGGGTCCATCTTCCACTTCTGGAGCAATGCTGCTGTTTCCTTCTCGGTGCCTCCCTGGAATTTCTCCAGCTTTTTCAGTTTCCTTACAACCTTTCTGGGCAGAATGCCTTTACGCCAGCTCTCTGTTATGGTGTCCTTTGGTCTGTGCAGCCTTTTACCCGCTTTAGAGGAACCCGGTAATTAGGAAAGAGGGTGACAGAGGGACCACAGGACTCTGTTCTCACCCCAAAGTGTGGCCAGCTCAGCAGTGGGGCATCCCGCTAAGCCTACAGCCTTACTGCATGCATCCTCCCGACTTTATTATTGCCTTCACGGCAACATTTCCCTAGGGCAGGGCTCCCCAGATGCTGTGCAGCCATCCTGGGGTGCTCCAGCAAGGCGGCAGTGCTGACCGTGGTTTCAGCAGTATGCAAACCCTGCAGGCAGCCACGGTGCCAGCGAGAAACACAGTGGGCATGGACTGGCAGAGCTGTTTGCAAGGCCAATCCCTGTCTCAGGGCACCCAGCAAGGCTGCGATGCATCCAGCATCTCGGTTTTGGGGTGGCAGGTGATAGAACATGGCGTGGCAGGGGTGCCCGCAGGAGTCCGGCGGGGACTGTGGCTGAAGGTGCTTCCCCATGGGCATTGGGCATTCATCGGCACGGGGTTTTACCCAGCTGCAAGACCTGCTTGCAGTGCTTTGCACGCTGCTCATGTCTGCTCTGCCTCTCTGTCCCGCAAATCCAGCATTGTCTGCCTCCTTCCAGCTCGGGCTCATCAGCACAGCAAAGGTGAGTGGCAGGGTCCCCTTCAGCCTCACTGCAGACCTCTGTCTGGGAGGAAAACCATCCATTGCTGCTGCATGGCAAGCCTTTGTCATGGTTGTTCACGCACCGTGAAGGCCTTCAGGGGCACAGGGAGCAGGAGGAGGCAGGAGGTGTCTTGCAGTCACGCACAGCGTATCGCTGCTGCTGTGTCTGTGTTACACAGTTGCTTACACATATTGTATTGGTTAAAAAAAGAAAAACTAATTTATTGGGATCTCGGCATGCTCACGTAGGAGATCAAATCCCTCAAACAGTTGGTCACTGTCCGGATGGAGAAGGAGTCTCCATTGCAGGGGTCCTCCAGCACTTACATGTCTTAACCACACACAGAAGACTGTCCCATGCGACCATTTCTGCAGGGACTGTTCCTATCGACTGTTTACATTCGTCTCAACACTGAACATCTGAGTACCCAATATCTGTCTCTGTCCAGCTGTTGTCCCACCTAAGCAGATGGAGCTGGGGAGTTCCCAGGTCACTCAGGGACTCCATGGCTGGTACCCAGCCCACTGCAGCGATAACAAAAGAATAAATCTGATTTTCAAGCCTATAACTTCATTTGTAAATGAAGTCCCGTAGCTCCTGCCCCCTCCGCCATGTTCATGCGGTCATCACTCCCGCCAGCCTCCTGGTCGGGACAGCACACCCTGCTCTGCTCCTCCACCTCTCTCCTTGCTGCAGCCTTGCCGAGCACAGACTGTCATCCTGGGAGGATGGAGGAGCTCCTCGGCCAGGCCCCCAGCACCTTCTGGGGCTGGCCGGAAGCTGGGGCACCCTCCCAGATGCGACCTGCGCCCCCAGCCCATGGTTGAGATCGTCACACTTGGGTGACGTACTCTTGGGTGGATGGGGGACCTGCGGCTTGTCCAGCTTCCCTTCTGCAGCTCCCGGGGGTGCCCGCTCCTGCCACCCTGCCTGCACCTGGGCTGTGCCGCAGCACCAGTGCTGAGTCCCCTCTGCTCCAGTGTATGCTGACTGGGCACTGGATCAACAATCTGGGCTCCAGCATGACCATCGGGGCCATGAACAGAAAAGGTGACTTCGCTGGCTCCTACCAAATGGCCAAGACAGCCACCACTAACAAGATCCAGCTGTCACCACTGCAGGGATCCCAGCACCACAGGAACCAGAAAAGGCAGCCCACTTTCATCTTCACCATCAGCTGGAGCTTTTCAGACTCTTCTCCTTTCCCAGCCTCTCTGTGGTGTCCCCAGAGGTCCTCTGCCCTCCCTGTGATGTCTCTAATGCTCTTCTGCCCTCCCTGCAGTATCCTTGATGATCCCCTGCCTTCCTCTGTGGTGTCCCCAATGCTTCCCCATCTCTGCAGTGTCCCCAGAGCTCCCCAGCCCTCCCTGTGGTGTCCTTATGGTCTCCTGCCCTCCTGTGGTGTCACCAGTGTTGCCCAATGCCCAATCCCAGAGCTGCATGGCTGGTGGCAACTCCTGGTCCCCACTTCTGGCTTTTGTCCCAGGCAGGTCCTGCCCAGGACAAGGTGAGGCAGAGCTGGATGCAGGCTCAGCTGGGCTCATCCCCCTGTGTCCCGCATACCCCACCCCCCCACATGCAGTGCCATGTCCCCAGTCCCAGCAGGACAGGAGGCTGTGGAGGGAAATATCACCCACCCACAAGCAGCCTCTTCCACTCCCAGACTGGCAAGCTGGCTACCTCGCAGAAGGAAAATGCCACCCCAGCACCTTTTCCCACCTCTCACCCCTTCCCTGTACTCTCCACCACCACTTCCATGGGCCAGTGCTTCGTGGACGAGGACAGGATGGAAATACTGAGGACCACGTGAATCATGCAAGATGAGGCTCACAGCCGTGAGGATGACTGGAAAGCCAGCGGGTAGAGCAGGGCTGCAGGGCACTTCTCCATCCCTTCTCCATGCTGGGGCTGCACATATGGGTGCTGCATGGAGACCCCAGGGGGAACGCCGAGCCCTGGGGATGGGTGCTGGTGCTGGGAGCCACCTGGGCAGCAAGCAAGGGCTAGGACCCCGGGGGCTTTTGGAGCAAGCTCCTGGGATGGGAGCTTAAGGCAGCTACTATAATTTTATAATTAGAAACAAAGTGCAATTCAAGCCTGGGGCAGATGTGTCTCAGGAGGATGCTCAAGGCAGATGTTCGTCCTCTGTGCAGGCAGGGGCCAGAGAGATCCCTCTGGAACTGGACACAGCCAGGTGCCAGCTCTGTCTTCCCCTGCAGCATCAGCAGTGACATGTTCACCTGGTTGGAGAGATATCTTGGAGGAGGTGGCTGTGCCGTGTCCCTGTGCAAAAGCCAGGCGGTCTGAGGACCCCTGCCCACCTGCCCATCTTTGCTACAGTCTTGTACCATTAGGAACCCCTTAGGAGGGCTCAGACAGGGCTCTGCTGTGTAGCTGTACACTGCCCAGCCTCAAAGCACCATGCATGCAGCATTGCCTCCCATGGGGTCTGTGCATGGGAGCACCATGCACAGGACGTGCCCTCCATGGGGACCAGAAAATTTTAACATCTACATATCTTCAGAAAATCCCTTCTGCACTGACAAGAGGGTTTAATTTGTTCCCGCTGCAGTGACAGTCACAGCTCCCAGATCCAGAGAAAGCCCAGCACAGCCAGCAGAAAAAACAGCTTAGAAACCGCAGCAGAAACTTGTAACGCAGGAGGGGACTGCCACGAGGATGAACTCCCGTGGGCAGGCACACCACCCTTCAGTGCAGTGGAGAAGTGCTGGTCAGGCTGTACTTGCTGCAGCTCTGTGTTTGGATGGCAGCACTGGGACAGGGGCAGTGGGGCAGTGCCAGCCTGCGCCCAACCCAAGGACTCCGTTGCGGAGCAAGGAATGGGCTGGCAGAGCCTCTTGGATAGTAGACGTGCAAACCCCCCTGCCCCCCTGCCCCTCTCCACAGCCGTGCTCATCCCCGCGTTCCTCTTGCACTGCCCAGGTCACACAGACCTCCTCGCCTCGCCTGTCCCCGGCGCCCTGCCACCAGCCCACCCGCCCCGCGGCTGCCAGCCCAGTGCCTGCAGGGCTCCGGTTACCGCCCTATCAAGGGGGCGAGCTGGGAGGGGGCCGTGCCAGATGCTTCACAATCCTGCGGCCATGGGGAGCAGTGCCTTTGCCCTGGTCCTCACCCTGGCCTTGGCGGGATGCGTCACCTCTGCGGAGAGGAAGGGACGGGAATGGGTAATGATGGGGACGTGGCAGACATGGCAATGGGCAGCATGGGCAGGCAGGGGTTCTCTCTTAGATGCTGTTTTGGGCTGGGACAAGCAGGAGAACTTTGTAAGCACCCAGTCCAGGCAACGGGCAGGGTATCTCTGGGTCATGCCCAGCCACCTGGTACCACCTCCGCAAAGCTTTGTTCCCACAGGAGCACCATGCACAGGGCATTCCCCCCGACGGGGTCTGTGCCCGGGAGCATCACGCACAGTCCATTGCCTCCCACGGGGTCTGTGTCTGGGCGTACCATGCATGCTGACGGGCTGGCATTGCTGCACAGTCCCTCCGCAGCCAGCAGCACCTACAGGAGTATTTCCCCAAACTGGGGACAGGGAGAGCTGTGCCCTGCAGTTGCGCTCACAGCAGGGCTTGCGACTCCGGCTGTGGGGTGGTGGGAGGGATGGGGTCCCCCTCTGCGCCATGCGTGGGGGCAGAGGGCCCACGGCCGTGTCCCTTCAGTGTCAGCTTAGCGGGCTGTGGAGGAATGAGCAGGACTCGCTGATGGAGATTTCGGCGGTGAGGGACGACGGGGACTTCCAGGGGAAATACCTCACGTGGGTCACCCTCGCCGGTGGCTGCGCCCGCACCTCCCCCCTGATGGGCACCCAGCAGCAGCCCGGCGAGGGGGGCTGGCCCACCTTTGCCTTCACCGTGCGCTGGGACAAGTTCTCCAGTAAGTGCTGGGACACCTGGGGACAGCACTGCGGGGGCACTGGGAGCCATGCAGGTGGCCAGCAGGATTTTTCAAGTGCTGGGTGATGCTTTGGTGCAGCTAAGCAGAGGGAGGCAGTGGGGATAACAGGCAATGCTGGGCTCACACAGGACAGCCCCTCCTCACCCAGCACCTTTGCACCCTTACCTGCCGGGCAGCCCAAGGTGACCGTGGTGGGTCCGGGCCCCGTTAGGGCACAGGGGATGCGGTACCGCAGAGGCTGCCTCGCCTGAGAGAGCTGCTGAAAAAGGGCAGGTCCCCCCAGCGTGGGTTGGGTGGCCGCGTGGCCGATGGAGCAGGAACATGGCTGCGGCTGGGAGGTTAAGTAGCCAGCGAGCGTGGGTGCCATCCCCACCGACCCCCCACCAAGTGCTTCTCCCAGACGCCACCACCGCCTTCGCGGGGCAGTGCTTCGTGGACACAGCTGGGAAGGAGACGCTGACCACCATGTGGCTGGCGGGGTGACGCTGGGTCCCTCGAGGAGGACTGGAAAGCTACAAGGTAGTGGGGGCACATGGGGACAGCAGCCCCACAGAGGGGCCCTCCCCTGGATCCCTGAGGATGAGCATCCCCTTGGGATCTCCCAACATGGGTTTGCAGCAGGGATGACAATGCCTCCTGGCAAGGTCCCTGCCCTGGCCAGGGGCATCTGGCAGCCGCTCGAGGAAAGTTGGGGGGCATTTAAGGCACTGGCAGCCCTGAGTGGGCCGTGTCTGCAGATCATCCCACAGGAACTCTCTGCTTCCCACAGGGTGGGCAGAAACGTCTTCACGCGCAAACGCACCCCGAAAGGAAAGATTCTACCGAGCTTGTCCCCATCCTGTGAGGATGTGCCGTTGCCCACCCCATGATGCCATGCTTTGGCTGCAGCCTGGACCCTCCAAGGCAAGCAAAACCAGCCTCTCCCATAAAAATAAAATTTAAAAATCATGTCAGCTGTGGTCATCTTTTTTAAAAAACTGCCCTCGTTCCCCCTCTGAGGCAGCTTCTGTCCGCATGGTGTGGGGAGGTGCAGAGGTGAGGGCTCGCCACTGCCCTTCCCCAGGGACATCTGGACCCCTCCCTGATTCCCCCCATCCAGCTCCCTGGGCTTATTTCCTACCTCATCCTAACCCGAACTTCCACCCTGCGACATCACTCCCTTCCTGCCTGCAGTGGCAGAAGTGGCATCAGCATCCCGAATCCAGCTGCCTTCCTTGCAGTGCCTTCATACCCATCCCCACCAGACGCCTTTCCAGTCCCAGGACTCCATGGTCCGTAGGGTTGGGTGATGGAGGTAACGGTATCAGCAGATGTGAGATGTCAGTAAAGCATTTCCTTTGCGCCGCACAGCACCCGAAGTAAAATATGCACAGTCAAAGCCCCTATCCCATCATATTCCATCCCATCCCATCCCGTCCCCCTGGGTTACAACCAGGGATTTTACCCTTCTCTGCCACTGCATTTCAGCAGTGCCACTCTATCTGCCTCTGTCAACACCTGCCAAGCTCAGTCAGCTCTTTTGATGCAAAGTTTTTGGCAGGTCCATGGGTGAAGACGAAGCCTCTTGCAGAAGCATTACAAATATAACCCCGCCCCGGGGATGCCAGCAGTACAGTTCATCGAGCCTGGCCCAGCCCAGCGAGGCCAGTGCACGCTGCCGTGATGTGGAGTGGTGGCTGCCACCTCCCTGGCACCTCAAACAGGGTGGCTTATCCCTGCCAAACAGCACAGAAAGGCAGGGGCTGGTGTCAGTCCGAATGGATGGAGCATGGCATCCAGGGCATGGATGATCCCGGGGGGGATTTTCTCAGGCCCCTGTGATAAGCCCTTGAGTTTGAGACTGTAAAAGGCAAAAGAAGGAGTGATGTGTTAGGAGAGGGGTTGTGTCCGCTCACCCCAGCCTTTGGGGACATCTGGACCAGAGGGAGAGGTGCTGAGCAGCAGCAGCAGCAGCAGCAGCAGCAGCGAGGTCCCAGGGTGTGCTGGGGCTCGTGGCGGGCACCGAGCGGTGCCACCCCAGGGTGGGACTCCACCACCCCCAGTATGCACACCATACCCCTGCTGCCGTCCAGTGCCCCAGACACTGCTGTCCTGGGGACAGCATGTGTTTATGCAGCTGAATCCCACCTTAATTTTCGGTTGCCCACCGCCCCATGCCTGCTCCAGGCACTGCAGCGAGCAGAGAAGCAGCTCAGGAACGCAGGGACAGTGCACGCTGTGTTTTGTACATCCAAAGCCCCTAAGAGCAGCAAATGTAAGGAAGAGGTGCAAATACAAGGCAGGTTAGCATGCTGGGTATGTTTAGCAAACACACTCACTTGGACCCCAATGCCCCTCTGTGGCTACTTCTTTCTCTAACCCTTGTAAAAGCAAAAGCAGCAAAATTAACAGCTGATATCCAGAAGATGCTGGGAAAATGTTATTGCTGCAAGCATTCCCTCCCATGCAGCGCTGCAGCCGCTGCAGCTTGCCTCTGCCAGGGATGCCCTGGCACCACGTGGTGACACCCTTGTCAAGCAGTGGCACCAGCAAACCAGGGAGTGGTTAAATGTTTAAACAGGTAATAATTTCCAGCCTGCACGCACAGGAGACAGATTCCCAAGGAAGGTAGTGATGCTTTCCAGGCTGCTGTTAAGGGCTGCAAAAAAATTCCACGCTCCCTCCTCTCTCCACAGCCGTGCTCATCCCCGCATTCCTCCGACGCTGCCCAGGTCACACAGACCTCCTCGCCTTGCCTGTCTTGTCCCGGTCACCCTGCCACCAGGCCACCTGCCCCGTGGCTGTGGGCCCAGTGCCTGTG